CCAGTCCATTTCATCTTACTAATGCCTAGGATATCAATCTTTATGTGTTCCATTTAATTTAGACACCTTCCAACTTTCCTAGATTCATACTTCGTACATTCCTGTTCTGATTATTAATGGATGTTTGCTGCTGTTTCTCCTCATTTTGAGGTATATCCTTTAGCGATACCTCAGATTATTTCCCATCATAGGCACAGACAGCGTCCCATTATCTTGTGATGGTTTTACCTTCTTCTCTGCCAGGGTGTGGTGGAAAAAAATGGGTTTTGGAATCATACAGTCTGGATTTTAATCCTGCACAATATTGCCTGATATCGTGCTAGAAGATGATCCCTCTAGATTGGGAAGCAATTAAAACGTAATATCCATTGGCCACAACAATGGACTTGAGCGTATCAACTCTCCTGAGGAGGGTGCAGACGGGGTAACGTTTTGTTCTGTTGTCCATGGGCTCACCAGGAGTTAGAACCAACTTGATGGCAACTATCACAGCAGATAACAGTATTGTTACTAATTGTGTGATCTAGGTGGAAATATATAATCTCCCTTTATTGGCTCATCATTTGTAAAGCTGGGATCTTATCTCTCTCAGAGGACTGCTTTGAGGATTAAACCAGATAATATTTGTGTAACAGAATGTGGAAGGGAACTTAATCTCATTGACTCAGATTTTGACTGAACCTCACAGCTAGGGACATTAGGTGTTAAGAAGCTCATGTCTGAAAGTAGAACAAGACACAGGACTTAGAAAAAGGGGTCAAAGAGATCAGCCACCATGATCCCCAAAATCTTTACAGGCGAACGCTAGAGATCCATTGGTCTTTGTGGGTCTCACATAGTAAGTTCACCAAGTGTCTTCATGGTAGTCCCACTGTACTGTAGATGAGATGGTAAAGTGTTCCCCAAAACATCCTCCTGACAAAAATTCCCTCTATTAACATGGAGTTGAAATCTCAGCCTTAAAACATCCCTTTACACAGGTAAAGATGATCGTTAAAAATCACATGGGTGAGGTCTTCAAAGGAGAGAGGTAGAGAAAGGCAGACAATTACTGCCAGAGCAGTTGGGTGGGGGCCAAAGTGGATGTTTCAACTGCCAAAGTGTCTTGTTTCTCAAAAAACTCTTTTCAGAAGTTACTGCCCATCCTCTTCTAGTCAGGGGAGGTGGGTTGCGAGGCAGCCAGCTTCTTCAAATTCAGAGGGGAGCCACTGAACAGGGAAACGAGGCCCAGCGGATCTTCACCACAGTAGCCGATGGGAACGGGAATGTTACCAGTGTGGAATTCCAGGCAGCACTAAGAGAAGATTTAAATTGGAAGCTTTGATTAAGTATGGGTTGGACTTTTTCATACCTGAAAATGGAACTATTTTAATAATAGTTATTATTAGCTGATAGCCTGTGTTTGAAGGGGAAAAAAAAAAGAGATGTTCCTAGATTAAAGCCTATCTACCCTGAATTTAGAGACCATCTCAAGAACAGATTTGATATATTAGGCATTACTAACCAAATACCATAAGAGTTGTGGGATGATATCTAGAATATCAAGAACGCAAACAGTCATTTGTTGTTAAGTGCCGTTGAGTCGGTTCCGACCCATAGCAAGCCTGTACAGGGTTTCCGAGGCTGTAAATCTTTACGGGAGCAGAAAAACGGACATTAAAAAGATAAAAAAATAAGGAAAAGACCAAAATGGATGTCAGAAAAGACTGCTCTTAATGGTTGAAATTGCCTTCCAGCATGTTGTTTTTAAGCGCTGTCGAGTCAGTTTTGATTCGTAGTGACTTTGTCTAACGTTTTTAAGGAGCGGCTGGTAGTTTGAACAGCTGACCTTGTATTTTAAACTGACCTTGTGGTCCAATGCTTTATCCCACAGCACCAGGATTCCAACATAGAGATGCTAAAGTGAATGGAAAAAATGTGGAGGCAAAGAGCTGAACAGAAAATTTCCAAGGGCAGCTCAAGAAGACAAAGTCAAATATTATAATGAAACGTGTAAAGACCAAAAGAAAACCAAAAGGGAAAAACATGCTCAGCATTTAGCAAGCCAAAGGAACTTAAGAAAAAATTCAAGGCTTGACTTGCAATTTTGAAAGATGCTATGGGCAAAACATCGAATGATGCAGAGAGCATCAAAAGAAGATAGGGTGTTCACAGTCACTGTGGCGCCCCCAACACTCTAGCTCTCGGAGCTTCAGCTGAAGGAATAGGGGAGTACGTGAAGAGGTCTCTATACCGTGGCTCATACAAAGCAGACTGCCTGCAAATCAACCGGTGGGAAAGCAACCAGGAAGCAACCGGCTGCAAAAGCTGCTCGTAAGAGTGCGCCCCCTACTGGAGGGGTGAAGAAACCTCATCGTTACAGGCCTAGTACTGTGGCGCTTCGTGAAATTAGACGTTATCAGAAGTCCACCGAACTTCCGATTCTTAAACTCCCCTTCCAGTGTCTGGTTCGAGAAATAGCTCAGGACTTCAAAACAAATCTGCGCTTCCAGAGTGCAGCTATTGGTGCTTTGCAGGAGGCGAGTGAGGCCTACCTGGTTGGCATTTTTGAAGACACCAACCTGTGTGCTATCCATGCCAAACGTGTAACAATTATGACAACCAGCTTGCACATGGCTTACGTGAAGAACGTGCTTAAGAATCCACTATAATGGGAAACATTTCATTCTTTAAAAAAAAAAAAAAAAAATTCTCTTCTTGCTGTTGTTGGTAGTTCTGAACGTTAATTTTTTCCCCCCATGGGGTCAAAAGGTACCTAAGTATATGATTGCGAATGGAAAAATAGGGGACAGAAACCAGGTATTGGCAGTTTTTTCATTTTCATTTGTGTGAATTTTTAATATAAATACCGGGACATAAAGCTTTAATGCAAGTCAAAATGTTTCAGTGAACAAGTTTCAGCAGTTCAACTTTATAACAATTATAAATAAACCTGTTAAAATTTTCTGGACAATGTCAGCATTTTTTTTTTTATACAAGTAAATTTCTTATTGATGGCAACTAAATGGTGTTTGTAACATTTTTATCATACGGTAGATTCCATCTATTCACTATACTTTTTCTGAGTTGTCCTACATGCAAGTACATGTTTTTAATGTTGTCTGCCTTCTGTGCTGTTCCTGTAAGTTTGCTGTTAAAATAAACTAAAAAAAAAAAGATGGAAGATATACACAAAGTCACTGTACCAAAAAGAAATGTTTGATGCTCAATCATTTCAAGAGGTAGCAATTGACCAAGAACTGAAGAAAGAAGTGTAAGGTCCATTAAAGGAATTGATAAATAAATTATTGAAATCTTCAACAAATTGATACAGAACTGGAAGCACTCACTCATCTATGCCAAGAAATTTGAAAGATGCTACCTGGTTAAGTGATTGGAAGAGATCCATATTTGTGCCCATTCCAAAGATAGATGACCCAACGGAATTCAGAAATAATTGAATCATATCATTAATGCCACATGCAAGCAAAATTTTGCTGAAGATAATTTAGAAATGGCTACATCGATACATCATCAGGGAACTGCCAGAGGTTCAAGCTGAATTCAGATGAGGATGTGGAATGTGGGATATCATAGATGAAAGTTAGCTAAAAGTAGAGAATACAGAAAGATGTTTACCTGTGCTTTATTGACTATGCAAAAGCCTTTGACTGTGTGGATCATGACAAGTAAGGAATACAATGTGAAGAATGGGTATTCCAGACACTTAATTGTGCTCATGAGGAACCTGAACTTAGACCAAGAGGCAGTCATTTGAATAGAACAAGGGATATGAATGTTTTCAAATCAGGAAGGGTGTGTGGTAGAGTTGTATCATTTCACCATACTTATTCAATTTGTATGCTGAGCAACAAATTCAAGAGACTGGATTATATGAAGGACATGGCATCAGGATGGGAGGAAAATTCATTAACCCTGTTATACAGATGACACAGCCTTGTTTGTCAAAACTGAAAAGGACACTGGTGAAGACCAAAGACCACAGCTTTCAGTATGGACTGCACTTCAATGTAAAGAAAACAAAAATCCTCACCACTGAACCAATAAATACCATCATAAATGGAGAAAAGACTGAAATAGTCAAAGTCTTCATTTTGCTCAGATCCACAATCAACACTCATATGGAAGCAGCAGTCAAGAAATCAAATGATACATTGCATTGGATGAATCTGCTTCACAAGACCTCTTTAAAATGTTCAAGAGCAAAGATATGAGTTTGAAGACAAAGTGGACCTGATCCAAGCCATGGTATTTTCAGTAACCTCATATGCATGTGAAAGTTGGACAATGAATAAGGAAGACTATAGAAGAATTGATGTATTTGAGTTAATGGTGTTGGAAAAGAACAAACAAACCTGTTTTGGAAGAAGTGCCAACAGAATGCACCTTAGAAGCCAGGATGAGGAGATTTCGTCTCACATAACTTTGAACATGTTATCAGGAGGGACCAATCCCAGGAGAATGACATCATGCTTGGTAAAATGGAGGATCAGTGAAAAAGAAGACCCCACTGAGATGGATTGGCTCGGTGGCAGCAGCAGTGGGCTTCAGCATAACAATTGTGAGGATGGTGTAGGACTGGGAAATGTTTTATTTTGTTGTGCACAGGGTTGCTATGAGTCAGAACAAACTCAATGGCATCTTACAATAACAACAACAACCTTGAGCCTATACAGCAAATAATTTTATACAATATGTGAAAAAATATATATATATATATTTACCACAGTACAATAAACAAAAAATAAAAGGCAGTAATTAAACAACAACAACAACATTTTACACAATGTTTGGTATATAGTAAGTGCTCAATAAATTGTTGATATAGTAATACCTCTTAAAACTTTTTTTACTATAATTTCGATGGAAAGTAATAATTGCTATTATTATAGTATTATCACCCAGTGCCTGGAACACAGCATTATTATTCATGTGCATATCTCTCTCCCAAGTAGACCAACGTAACATATGTCGAATTTTATTGTGGCTATTGGGGGAAAAGCAAACAACTTGAATATCGATTGGTTGTATTCAACCATGAAGGGCCACAATGCACGCAGAAAATTATGGAGATGGAGAGAGCTTAATATCTTAACAATTTAGTCTTATTTCATTGGTTCTAATTGACTATAGCTTAGATATACTAGAGTTTTGGATTTTCTTCAGATAGGACTTTTAACAAGAAGCACAGGCAACAAGATCTCAATGAAAGAGGGAGAAGGAAATAAAAGGATGTGATAGATATCCTGGTACTTGTCCCAATACCCAGCTGTCAGTTCATCTTACTGTGGTAGCATGCATGTTGCTATGATGCTGGAAGCTATGCCAGCAGATTTCAAATACCAGCAGGGTCATCCATGGTGGACAGGTTTTAGTGGAACTTTCCGACTAAGACAGAAGAAAGTCCTGGTCATCTATTTCTGGAAATTAACCGGTGAAAACCTCATGAATACAACAGAACATTGTTCGATATGCTTATTTTGGACCCATCACCAGGGCCAGTGAGGGTAAGGGAAACCCTCGGTGAGACAGACTGGCACAATAGCTGCCACAGTGGCAAGTGTGACTTAGGATTGGGTGACATTTTGTTCAGAAAGCCACCATGAGTTGGATTCGACTCCATGGCTGGAAACAACTCTATGCCGGGAACCATGCTGGACCTTTTACATTTGTTTCCTTTAATGAGACAAAAGAATGAAGAAATTCAAACCGTGGGCTGCATTACCCCAATAGAATATGGATACATTTCATATTCAGAGAACTGTGAGCCTTTTTTCTTCCATTATAATTTTTGTACAGACATGAAACGACAAGAGTTTAAAGATGGAGCCTCCCTGGGCACTGTATGAGAGTTCCAAATATCATCAAAATCCTCTTATTTATTTTCTTGCCTAAGTGGCTTTTCCCAGGAGGAAAACAGTTGCATTTCCTTCATTCTGTACAGCAGTAGCTGCAAATTACCGCATTCTGCCATCAGAACAGCTATGCGTACCTCTGAGAACTGCAGTTATCTTATCCAATGATAGGAATGACCTGGAGACAGAGGACTTTTAAATCCATACATCTTAGAAATTCTAGGCAATTAACCACTTGCTTACAGCAAAAGCAAGGAAGGGCAAGGCAACAGAAAGATAAAACCTTGTTGTGACAGCTTCTGTCCTCAATGTTATTGTTAAGTGCTGACCTGTCGATTCCTACTCATAGTGACCCTGTATAGGGTTTCTGAGGAGCGACCAGTGAGTTTGAACCACTGACCTTGTGGTTCAAACCGACTTTGCGGTCCAGTGCTTTATGCTACAGAGCCACACCAGAATATAATATCTTCTTTATGCTTCTAAACTCTTCCCCTACCTATAGGCTGGAGTGCAAAAATTGAGGTGACAAATAGGAGAGAAAAAGAAGGGAGGGAAATTGGTAAAAATTAGTAAATTCTCAGCTTAAATTGGTTAAAGGTAGTGAGTATTGGCTGGGGAATGTCTTTACTTTGAAAGGAGAATGGGAAGATGTAAGTCTAAGAAAAGTCATAGAAATTTAGTTTTTGAGAAAAAAAAATGTCAGACTCAAGATATATATTTCAGTACATTAAATAAATGGTGTCCCAGGAGATCAGAGTCGTATCTACACACAAATCAGTTGAACTAAATCTGTTGAATTAAGTAGATTTTTGTTTTCTGCCAGATGATTATTAGCTAGGGTTTATTTTTCAGTTTAGAAATTGCTTATGCAAGGAACTACTGATTCTAGAATAAATAGTTCTTGGTATGGATCGTAGGATAATTGTATCTGGAAAGAATTTGCTTCTAGGAACCTGGCTCTAAAAAGTCTGAATTTAGCCATAAGCACATCTTCATGTTTGGTGTAATAACTTCTCCATGCTCCTTGTTAGAATATTAATTTATCTTTCATTATTGGTGCTGAACACTTATTTTTAAAAAACAAAACTTTTTATTGTGATTTGAATGAAAATTTACAGAGCAAACGGGTTTTCTAGTCAACACTTCATACACAATTTGTTTTATGATATTGATTGCAATTCCCAAAATGGAACAGCACCCTTCCCACCTCCTGCCTGTTTCATGCACCCATTCATCCTTCTTTTCTATCCCTTTCTACCTTCCGAGTTTTGCTGCTGTTATTGTTAAATGCCATCAACTCGGTTCCAACTCATAGCCACCCTGTATAGGGTTTCTAAGAAGCAGTTGGTGTGTTTGAACCACCGACCTTATGGTTAACACTCCAATGTTATCCTTGAGCAAATGCTACTTTTAGACTTTCCAATGGTTGACTATGGTAAGAATTTGGTACTTTCCTAGTGTAATTGTTCCGCCTTATAGGCCTATTGTTTGGCTGAAAGTTGAGCCACATGGTGAGTTTACTTCCAGGCTTGAAGAGTGACTAAAGGTCATTGTCTCCTATGTTCCCCAGTACGCCTAGTCTTTTTCATGATGTTAAATTTTGTTCCACATTTGCCCCCCCACACTCTATATGGCCCTTCTATTGTGATCCCTTTTAGAGCCACCAGCAGTGGTAGGCGGACACCAGCTAGTTCTTCTGGTCTTAGGGTCACCAAGATGGGTTCATGTGGTCCATAGTCCTTTGGCCTAATTGTTTCCTTCCATCTTTGATTTTCTTCACTCTTTTTTACTCTGGA